TGTTTTGTTTGATTTTCCAGCCCCCCTTCATTACTCTCATTATTCAGTGCTTAAAAAGAGGCTCAGAAGGGCTGGGGATTTAGCTCAGTGGTTTCACCACCTGCTTCACAAGCACAAGGACCCGAGTTCAATCCCTGGTTCCAAAAAACAAAAAATATGGTCAGAGAACCTGTGGGAGTTTCAGTAGCCAATACAGTCCCACACAATGACCCATCTACCCAATTTTATTAGGAACAAGGGCACCGTAACTCCTGTCAAACACAAGGAGCCTAGGGGCGCATTATGCAGCTAGAGTCTTAAGATTTCCACCAGGGATGGTAGGGCAACATGCTCCTTGCTCAGATAGAATCATACTACCACCTTAGCAGGGCTTCTCAAAGAGCTGTCTGCTTTTACCACAGCACTTGGCACTTGAGGCAAAGGGACCAATGCAGGGAGCCATAGGAAGAGAAGCCCAGGCTCATCAGGATACCCACTCAGCCAACTGTTTCAGTTCTTCTTCGTCTTCATCTGCTTTGGGAGCTTTGGGGAGAGGACACCCAGAGAAGAAAGAAGTGTTAATGCCTCAGAAGTTTCCAGCTATGCCCTGCTCTGACATCCAGAGCATGCTAGAATTGTCTCTCTAGCAAACAACCTAAAAGGCCTTCTGCATGCTGGTTTGCTGCCCATTCATTCCCATAGCACCTTTATGCAAATTAGAAAGGTGCCTCTCTTCATAGCATCCACAGCCCTAAAGCAGGCTATGCAGCTTGCTGTGTGGAGCCCAGGCTGAAGTCTGGATTTCTGCCCTGCTCCATTTTAGTCCCAAGCCATTATGCAGTCAACAACCTGCATCACTACAAGCACTGCTTTCTGCCTGGATCTTCTGTGGCAGGATGAGTGGGGAATAATTTTATCCCAAATCTTTTCCAACCTTCTCAAGGCCTCAGGACAGTGAATAGCTCTGGGTACCTGGCTCTGCAGGCAGATGTATAGAAGGTACACTAGGCAATTGGACAGGGGGTTCTTCTTCCTCGTCACCCACGCTTAACAGCTCCTGGGCCAATTCCTCCTGCTCCAGCTCCTCCAGCTCTTCCAACAACTCATCCTAGATACAGGATGACAAAACTGATAAGACCAAGACAGGAAGCATCCAGTTCCAAAAGCAGACTGGTCCCAAGGGACTGTCCCCAACATTCTTTCTGGCCAGTCCCATATTTTCTTCGGTATTCCCTCAAACCGGGACCGAGTCACCTCATCAATGTCATCTCCAAAACCCAGAGGCCGAGAAATAGCATCTGAGATCTGCTGGGCCACATCCTGCTGTTCCGTGATATCGGCCATCAGTTCATCCACCTTGTCAGTGTCCCTGAGAACAAGACATACAGCCAAGAGATTAGGCGGCAACCCCTCCCGACCTTCTCACCTGCAGGAATGAAGCCTGGCCTGACCATGGCCTCACAAGAAGCCCATGTCAGCAAAAGGGGATAGAGGCAAGTCTGGGCTACGAAACAGTCAGAAGTCACACTGGAGAGGACAGGATGCACTCCTTTCCCTGAAGGCTCTTTAACAATTAGAGAAAGCAGCTTTACTCCTTAGAATGCCCCAGCCAGCAAAAGAAGCAAGGAGGGAGACACAGGTCTAGTCATCATAAGCATGATGTAAATTCACATTCAGGGAGGCTTTCAGCTTTCAAGTACAATCCCAAGCCACCCTCCCCAGTGCCTGAGTCCCCTCCACCACTGCCCCCCATACCCACATGTCCTGGTAGGCTTTCTTCATGCCTTGGGCTGCAAGCTCCATGGTACGAAGCACTTCTGTATTGGTGGTGGCATTCTCAATGGCCTCACGCTGACACTCCAGGGTGGATAATGTCCCATCGGTTTGTGCCAGCTGTTGTTCCAATCTCTTCTTTCTCCGCAGAGCCTGTAGGGCGGCTGACCCAGCCCACACCCTGATCTGAACATCAGAGTCGGAAGCACTTGCGTCAGCCCCGGGTCCTCTCCAGGGGCTCCTGTCCCTCATTACCTCTCTTATTCTTGGTCCCGTGCTTCTTGGCTGTCTGTAGCTCCTGTTGAATCTTCTGCTCCAGAAACTCCTGTTTTTTGATCAGTATCTTCTCTGTCTCCTTCAGTTTCTGTATTGCTTCTTCGGGAGTTGGCCCCTTGTCCTTCTTCCCTAGGAGTCCAGTGCAGCAGGCCCATAGGGTGTGAAGAAAAATATTAGCCACCAATCATGGAGAGGACAGTGTACTAGACGCCTGTCTCATCACTAATCTCCAAGTGATTCTCTACCACAAATGTACTATCTTCACTTTCCAAATAGGAAAACGGCACAAAGATGTTAAATGTTTTGTCTAAAACCACAACTGCTAACAGATAAAGCAGGAATCAAAATGTGGCAATATGACTTCGAAAGCCAACATTCGTCCTCGTGTTCCCAGCTGCCTTTCAGTCATTTCTAGTCACTTTTTTTTTTTTTCAGGTACTGGGGATTGAACTTGGGTCCTTGGGCTTTCGAGGCAGGCAGTGGCACCACTGAGCTAAATCCCCGGCCCCTTCAGTCACTTTTTGACAACACTGTTCCATTTGCTATCCTAGGAGATGCCAAAGGTCCTCCCTCCACAGACCAAACTAAATGAAGTGCAAGGCGCTGGAGAAAACTTTCTGATTTCAATCGTTCCCTTCAACTTCCATACTTTTAACAGTCAGTTTTTTCAAATCAAAGCCTGCTGGCCCAAGACTGCTTAAATTCTTCAATAATCTCTTGCCTACAAGAGAAAATCCAAAACTTTGTTTTTCCATTTGATTTTTTCTACAGTCCCATAGTTTCAGCCTCCCAATCCTCCCTCCCAAGTGCCCAGATCACACACCTGTGCCACCACACCCAGTTTAAAATCCAACACGTTTTAGGGAGATGGGCCTTTCCTGTCTTGCAATGTTGACCTCTCCATCACTATTCTCCCTTTACTCTTCTCTCCCCTTCATTAACATCACACACTAACACACACAAGCCCACCATTTGTCTATTCCCTAAATATATCACAAGCTTCCCTGCCTGTGTTACTGAAGGCTGTCACTGCTGCACCTGCAAGCTGCTAGTCTTCTGGACCAAACACTCCACGCCCCCTTCCACTTCTGCCTCACCCTGGCTTTCTGGGAGCACTGGCTCACTGAGTTGCCGAGCTACACTGTAAATCCCTGTCTCTGCTTGTCTCTCCCCTCCAGACCTGAGCTTCAGGTAGCCATTTTTCTTCTTCACTTTAGTTCTCTCTTGCTCAGCACAGAGTAAGCATCAGGGTTTAGGAAAAGGGCGGGGGAGGCACCTGCAAAGCAGTTCCCGCGCCTGTGCAGGGGGTCCCACTCTCTCAAGTCTGTGTGCCCTGGGACCCGAGCTCTTTCTGTGGCCTTGGGAATAAGGGTAGAGGGGACAAGGCGCCCCTACAACGCTACAAGGTAGAGGGACGAGGCCTTCCGGCACCAGCACTGAGCCCGTCCCCTCCGCGGGCCAGGTCGGGCAGCCAGCCCCTCGGTCGCTCCCCTGGCCCGGAGCAGCGGTTCTCCCCACCCCCCATTCGGCTCGGCCAGCTCCTCCCGGCGGCCTGGCTGTCCCGGGCTCACCCCTTCCGAAGAGTCGGTGGAGCCCACTCATGGCGACCTCGGCTCTCGCGCCTCTGCCCTCGGCTGGTGCCCCGCACCCTTCCGCCTCGCTCCCCGAAGGTGGTTTTCAGAGCTCAGGGTCTGGGCCAATTCCTCCTTTGGGCGCCACCTTTTAAGGTGACTTCGTCCGCAGCCGCAGAGAAACCGCGCTGTCACGTGCCAGAGCCTCCGCTGAGCCAGCCTACCCCTCTTAAAGGGGCCGCTTCATTTCTACTACCTGAAAAGACCCCCCCACACCCCCAAATCGTCTTGGCTCCCTAAAAGGAAATGCTCTTTGGGAGGGCACCGCTAAGAGCGCGGTGAGAGTTCTTCACGACCTCGGGATCACAGCCTGGGTCACGGGTGAAGGCAGAACCTGTGGGTCTCAATCCCACACTCTGGTCTGGGGATCTCAGGACAACCACCCCATTCACAGTAGAAAATAGAAACAATCCACGCCATGGAGAAGGTCTTTTCTGTCCCACACAGATAAACTTTAATAAAGAACAAATGCACCTGAGAATGCCTTCTTGATTTCCTTTTTCAGTTTTAGGTGTCAGATGAGGCACATCCACAGGGCTGGACCTCAGGGCCCTGCTTGGGCCTTTGCAAACGTCTCTAACCCTTGAGTTAGGGTGTGAAGACTCATCCCATTCTGGATGTGAATGCAGGTCACACCTAGAAGGAGAAGAAGTCACATGGCATCAAGCTTTCAGGGGGTCCCATGACTGCCACCTTTTTGTCATATCCCCTGTCATGCAGACTATCCACCCTGCGCATAGCTACTCTTCCCTCCTCAGAATGCTCCTTCCTCAACCCCCAAATGCCTACTGTCACTGCCCGGTACCCAGTTTGCTGACGTCTACAATATTCCGTTTCTCATCATCAAAGAAGATCATCTGTGAGAAAGGAACTCCAGTCTTCTGCTGCAACCTGTGCAAGACAGCCAGGGGTGGGGGAGCTGGCACCTGGGCTCCCCGAGCCCCTACCCTTACTCCTGCCTACCTCTCAAAGTGTGTAACCTTGCTACCTGGATAGATTTCCCGATGAACAAAGTATCTGACAAGCCCAAAGAGCTCCAGTAGCTGGTTGGCCCCCTCCACCTCACCTGTCCTGCAAAAGGGTGTAATGGATGCAATTAGGAGAGTGAAGGGCCAGGCTGCAATACAGGCTAAGTCCAAGCAGGGGAAGCCAGTTTGCTCTTTTTATGGGATGGAGAGGCTTCCAAGCCCTCATTTAACTCCATTGTCTTCTGTGGGACACAGCTGGTGCTGAGCCACTGCTTAACAAGTAAAAGGTACAGGAGAGGGTAGAATTAGGAAACATATGCAAATATTTGCAAGGTTGCGCTTTTTTATTTGTATTAGTACAGGTTTGTACTACATAACTGATTACATTCATTGTGGTGAGCTGGTACACACAGAGAACACATCTTAATTCTTCTTCTCTTCCACCCCCTTTCATTCTTCCTTTTAGTCCTTGCAATTTTTTTTTTTTTAATTAGGGACTGAACATTGACCTGTTTTTGGTAGTGGTGATTGCAACTCAGGACCTCACACTTGCCATGCAGGGCTGTGTTGCTGAGGTACAACCCCAGCCCCGGGCTCTTTTTATTTTGAAGAGTCTCACCCAATTGTCCAGGCTGGTCTCAAACCTGCGATCCTTCAACCTCAGCCTCCTGAGTAGCTGGGATTTTAGGCCTGTTCCACCTTACCCAGTGTACCTCTTACATTTGTATACCCACGCCTGTAATACCAATACGTGGGAGGCTGAAGCATCAAGATCGCAGAGTTAAAGGCCAGCCTGAAGTGCATAGTCAGACCTTGTTTCAAAGTACCAAAAAACAAAACGAAAAAACAAAAAATTTTGTACTCAGGTGTTACATGAAAAGTCTGAGTGCATCCATCGTTCAGTTAACTTGCAGCGATCGTTTTCAGCTGCTCTTCTTACAGTGACGCGGCCGCGACGGGCACCTGAAGGCTCTGCAATCTTTCCAGAACCGAAGGCACCTCAGGGTACAGTCGGATGCTCTGACCCCGCCTATCCCGTATAGATCCATCACTAGAGAGGGCGAGAGCACGCTTAGTAACGGACAGGCCCATCCTAGCGCCCCCCCCCCCCCCCCCGCCCCAATTCCTATCCCTGCCTCACCCGCTCTTGTGGAAGGGAGGGTCTACGTGCGTGTCCGCCCAGAAAGGCCAGAGCGTGTAAACTGCGGAGGAAGGAGGGGACGGTTCGGCCTTAGGGGCGCGGGGAATGTGCTGCCACGGGGGGATAGGCTCGGGACAGCTCCCTATGAGACTCCTAACCTGTCCCTCACCCAGATCCAAGACTGTGAGCTTTGGGAGCCTCGCTATGACAAGTCTCCCTGGCGCGCGTGGAGCTGGAGGTTTCCGGCCTGAGTGAGCACAGTCTCGCTCCACGGTTGTCAAGGAAACGGCGGGTCGGCCACTGAGAAACGGCTGCTAGAGCGTCGCCGTGGCCTGCGTGTCAAGAGCGCCGCCTGCCGCTCAACGGGGAGGCCTGCAGCGAGGTTCCAAGAGGCCTGCACCTAGAACCCAGTGACTGCCAGGGTCCCAAAGGACAGGTCCCCGGCATTGTTTACTTTCTAATGCACCCAACTTTCATTTTCATTAGAGAAGCCCGGTACTTGAGAGTTTGTTTCTTCTTATTTTATTCCTGTACAGTATTTTGAGATCTAGGCCCTTGTACTGAGCTACAGTGCCGTATTTTTTTTTTTTTTTTTTGGTACCAGGGATTGAACTTGGGTCCTTC